ATTTGAATTTATTCTGAAGAGAAATTAAATTTTGGAAAAGTATAGAATAAAATTTTAGAATTAAGGACCTAATTATATAAAATTAAAAGTTTGAACTTCTAAATTAAATTATCTATGAACCTAAGGAGTTTAAAATTTGTTAAGATACCTTTGAGAGAAGGACCTAAATGGTCAATTGAAAACTTAAAGGATGATTGGAAGAGTAATTAGAGAAAAGATTAGTAAAATGAGGGACTAAAGTTAAGAAAAATTTTAGACACTTCTCCACCCTTCCAGCCAAAATTTTACTACATAATTGGGGGTTAATTAATGAGATTTGACTCACTTAAAAAGGAAAGGTTAAAAGGAATGCAAAATGGAGGGTTAGGAATTAAAGAAAAATTAAAGGTTAAAAACTTGTCCATTTGAAAGGTTAGGATTAAGAGTTAATTCAAAGGCCAAGATTACTCCAAAACACAGCAATTCAATGGTAGAGATGAGGTCAAAATTCTACCAAAAATTTACCTATAAATAGGGTTGCATGAAATTAGAGAACATTCATGGAAATTAGCTAAAACTAAGGGAAATTCTTACAAAATTTCCTTAGGCAATTCAACCCAAAATCCGGTTAAAATTACCTCTACACAAACATAAATCAAACTAATCAAGCAAGGAAATCAAGTTAGGAGATCAAGGATTGTCAAGAAGAAATTTGAAAGATTAGGTCGAATTGGTGAAGAAAAGGGGAAGTAAAAATTGCTCAATTATCTCATTTTTAAGGTTGAATTAGATTTTAATTAGATAAGTTAACTCTACCTACATCACAAGGATTATTCAATTAATGTTAATTTGTGACTTATATGCTTTAATTATGAATTTTAGCTTTAATTTTGAAAATTAAGGTCAAGGTTTTTGGTGAATAAATTTGGAAAAAATGAAATTGAACTTATAATGCATGCAATTAAGGTTGAATTATGTTAATTAGACTTAAATTTGAAGTTTAAAACTTAAAAATTTCTAGGGTTGTTCAAGGGTTAGCATTCGGCCTAAAGTGAAGATTTGAGGATTTTTTATGCTTACATATAATTAATGTTTTAGGACTTTATTATAACTTAATTAGGTATGAATTAGTGTTTAGGAATGAAGAACCTCATTTTAATTGAAGAAAAATTCATAAAGTACTTAGGGTTCCATTCGCCCATTCAATTCATGATTTGTTGATTAATTAGTAATCAAATACGTAAAATTTGATGAGTAGGAAGGGAAAATCCTAAGAAAATTGAAGACAATTACTTGGTTTGACTTAGGCCCAATATTGGCCCAATTTGGGTTTAGGCACACAATTGTTCCATAAATATTAATTAGGTTGATTCCTAGTGTTAATATGTGTCTAACCTACTAGGTGTTAAAAATTTAGAAGGAAATAAGAAGAAAATAATTACATATTAGGGTTTGGGTTTTCAATTAATCTTTAACACTTAAATTAGCCAATTGAAGTTTAGAACTATGAAATCAAGTGAACTAGAATGAAACACTTCATAAAAACCTAAAATTTAGCTTAAGTTAGCAAAATTAGAATTTAGGCCCAATAAGGCCCAAATGAGAATTAGTACATGTAATTAATCAAGTAATACTTAATTATGTTAGTTTATGAAGTAGGACATAATTGAGAAGAATTAGATATGTAATAGATGTTAAAAATAGGAAGAAAAATGATTAGATTATGCTAGGACATAATTCGGCCTAATGTGGAAAGATGTAGAATTATATGTTATTTTGTAAATTGTGTTCTTGAATGATATTTAATGTGCTTGAATTATAAATTTTGTCTTTGGTTGAAATGTGAGTGATGGTGATGTTATGTTGTTCGAATGGTATGTTGGTATTGGCATGGATTGTGATGGTTGGTATTGTTTATGCAAGGTAATATTATTAATGCAATTACATGGTTATTCATGGCATGCACCTCATGTTTATGCATATCAATGAAATGCTTATGAATGCCTAATTTCATGAAAAATATTTTAAAGTCATGAAAATGTATTTTTACGTCATGGTTTTCCAATAGTAATTAAAAATATTTTAAAGAATGTGGTTTTCATGACCTTAAGGATTTTATGAGGAAGAACTTTATGGGTTTTCCATATGATAAGGGTAATGGTTCGGAGTCTGGACAAGTGCAAACGTGCACGTTTAAAGGCTCGACAGGGTGCGTCCGTAGATGGGTTTAGTTCACCGGACATATATTATAGAAACCCTAAAACACCTAAAATGGGATATGTCCAAAAATAAAAAAAGATTTTTAGACTGATCATGAAATGTATTATGACATGAAAAAAGGATTTGATGTGCATACACTAGTGTTTTGCACATGCATATACACAACATACATAAGTTAACTTACTAGGCTATTGCTCACCTAGTTCTTTGTGTTGTAGATAATTAAGGTACAATGGCTTATTTCTCCACCGAGATGATTTCCAAGGGGTTCACCGGATGCATATACCTTGGGTAGGGGTTCGGTTTCCGGGTGGATTTGTTGTATGCCATTTTGCTTATGGTACTAGTTGTTGTCTTGTATGTGTTAGGATTAGTCTGCTCTGTTTTACGCTATACTAAAAGTAATGAACAAGTAGATGAAGTACTTTTAACACGATGTAAATAGTTAATAAGCTAATTTTGTAATAGTTGGTAGTAGATTGGTTTTGTATGTAACCGAAGTACCAATAGTAAAATAACGAGTATACTTATAGTAGTGTAGTTACTTAAAATTGTCTATTGCATGTTAATATTCTTAGGACGGTAGAGATATGTGATTAAACGTTCGCTAATTATCATAAATGACAAATAATGCAATGGAATAAAATAATTAAATAATAATAATAATAGGTAATAATTAAATAAATTTACATGGATTAATAAGAAAAGAACTTAGGATGATCAATTTTCACGAATTTAGTTAATCCAATTCAAAAAATGTAAATAAAACGACAAAACGTAAAAAAAATTATAACATCTTTTTAGCTAAAGTATTAAGACCTACCTTGCAAGTATTCGATTTCTATAGCATAGATTACACTTTAAACATTAAGATTAAGTCACGAGTACCTCATTAGCTTGTATTCATTACACTTCGAATACGGAGTTAACAACGATAATATTCTCAACCTTTTAGGTCCTAGGTTGAGGGTGTTACATAATCATTATTTTTTTTATAAAGTTGCATTAATAAAAATAATTTTTTAAAATAAGAATTATTTGTATATTGATTTTCAAAATAATAATAATAATAAAAGTCAAAATATGGAAAATAATAATCATTTTTTTTTTGTGAGGTTGTATGAAAAATAGAAAAATAACCATTAATTATTTGTGGAAAATAAATATTGAGAAAATAGTAAATAATAAAAAAAGAAAAAGAAAACTTTCTTATTCTAAATATTAATCTATGGTTAGTGTTGATATTTTTGTTTTAAGGAAAAAAATGGTGTTATATTAACTCTATTTTAGTGTTATTATCATTAAATTTTTCAAAACTACTCTTCTTAGATTGATTAATCATCAATTATCAAATGTTTATTATTATAAAAAATATTTGGCAATTAATCAATAATTATTTATAAGTTGCATAAAAAATAATTATTTTGTACAACAATATTTATTTTTATACTAATTTTGAAAAAAAAAACAAAAAAAGTCAAGATTTTGAAAAATAATCATCATTTTTGTCTGATGTTGTATGAAAAAAAAAAAAAAGAATTTAGTTACTTTGAGAAAATAGATATTTAAAAATAATAAGAAATGGAAAAATAAAAGAAATGTTTTTCGGAAGAAAGTTAGGCTGAGGTGCATGCCAAGCCTGCTTGTATTGGCTTTTTGAGAACCAGGTTCGTGTTAATAGGCCGGACGCATGCGACGTAGAAGTTTATATATATAAAGAGACAGATGATGCGTCGTTTGTGAACCATCACCAGCGGTGATACTGTAACTTTGGACACCTTCGCTTGTAAATTCAATGATCAATTTTTCATTAAAAAGAACAGAGACTATCGTTTTTATCCTCAATTCACCTAATTTCTACACTTTTTACACCTAAAAACACTGGTAGAATCATCCTAACAACATGTAAAAATCCATTTTGAATCTTAAAATATGTCCTAATCTATCCTAGAAACCTAAAAACCTAAACTTTCTTCTCTCTTTTGACTTCTCTCTCATCTCTCTACATTTAGAGATATTGTTGCAATAAAAATAAAGTTTAGAAGCAATGGCATACAAACATTGAATACCAAGAATAAAAATGGAAAAAAAATTCCTAAATTTTTCAAAAAAATCACTTAAAATTATTGAAAAAACAAAGTTGATTTTGTTTTTTTCAATGCTTTTGGATAGTTGTGATATAAAAATGTTAAAATCATCTAAAAGCAACCAAAAAAGGATCAAGGCTTTGCTTTTGATATTGCTGTGTTGTTATGTGTTGTGCTACGTTGCATTCTGCTATGAGGTGAAACAATGTTTAATAACTAATTATTTTATTGAAATATTAAATAAACTCTGTAATAATAATAATAATAAAAGAGTCCCACCCTTTTCCGACAAGAGAGGAAGAGAAATCACATCTGTTTTATATGATTATTTAATATTTTAAGAATCTAATCGAGATGAAAAGGTTGGGGATCTAATCGAAATTGACCCTAACAGTTGGGGACTTTTATGATGCCCAGTAAACTTTCATCAAACCAAACCAATGCTGGTCAAAGAGTCACTGACACCACAAACACTTCCCTCTCTCTTTCCCTCTCCCCCAACCCACAGGCCACAGAATCTAATAACTTCAAAACTAACTGTATCCTGTACCCTATCTGTCAACATCCCATTGGCCACCCTGTCTTAGACTCTGACTCTCTCTCTCTCAAACTTAATAATAAAGCAGAATAATATCCAAAACAATCTGTATCTGCAGTAAATTACTTGGTCGTCACCCTCCGTCTTTCTTTCTCACTCCGTGGAAATTAGAAAGTATGGAATTAGTCCCGTACACAGACCCAAATTCGAAACAAGATTCCCTTCCATGGCAAGACATGTTTAGATCCGCCTCATACCGTAGTCCTTCCACCACCCCATCCCCACCACCACCCTCACAATCCCACGCGCCACCCCCCAACGCATCCAATGACGACCCTCATCATAATAATAAAACTACCTTCTCAGGTGATCCCCAGGTACGCCTTGCTCTTTACATAGCCATGGCCCATGCTGGTCTTGCTCTAGCTATCTTCATTCTTTATTTTGTTTGCAAGCTTTTGCAAGAGTATTTGAGGCCTATTCAATGGGCTATTTTGTGTTCTATTCCTTTGAGAGGGATACAACGGACCCTTGTTGCTTTTTGGAGTGAGCCTCTTCAGTTAGGCCTCACTGAGACTGTTCTCGCGGTTCCTGTTTCTATTTTTACGGTTTTTGTAGGCACCCTTGTTGATATTAAGGAGGTCTGTTTAAGGGTTTTTCTTAAAAAGTCAAAAAGAGATACTTTGAGGAGACATAGAAGTGGTTTTTCTAAGTTATTAAGGTGGTTGCTGTCATTTGGTGTCTTTGTGATTGCCTATGAGAGAATTGGTGGCATGGGCTCACTCTTGATTCTTGCTTCAGGCTTCTTCTGCAGTACCAAAACTGTAAATTCTACATTTTCCGCTGTCTCTACTCTTAGGAATAATAGTTTTAGGCGTAGTTCGATTACCCCATTTTTCACAAGACGCGTATTGAAGAGGTTGAAAACCATTGTGGCAATTGGATTGATTGTTGGCATGATTGTGGGGTCTTTGGCTGGATTGATATTCTTCTCTTATAAGATCGGTGTTGAAGGGAAAGACGCTGTCATTTCATTGAAGTCACATGTGGAAGAGAGTAATTATGCAGAGAAGCTGGGCATCAAGCAGTGGATGGCCGAGAATGATGTTTCTGGAATGGTAGATAAGTACACCACAACGTTCTATGAAACAGTGTTTGACCAGATAGATAGTTTAGCAATGCAGTATAATATGACTGAGTTTGTTACTGGGATCAAGGATTTTGTCATTACTCCTCCGGTTAATTCTTCTCAGCAATCAGTGGCGTTGATGAGCCCATCTCCCTATACGGAGAAGATATTGAGTTTAAGAAAGAAAGTTCGCAATCGGGAATGGGGAGAAATTTATACAGAACTGGACGCAATCTTTAGGGAATTGATAATCACTCGAGAAGATCTGGTTGAAAAGGCAAAGGGGTTTGCTGTTCAGGGGATGGAGGTGTCACAGCGTGTGTTTGCTAGTAGTGCATCTGTTTTGGGTGGTGGCGCTAAGCTCATGCTGTCCATTGGAAACTCTGTCATTTCTGGAGCAGCAGAAGTTTTCAATTTTGTATCTCAATCGGTGATATTCTTCTGGGTTTTGTATTATCTAATTACATCAGAGTCTGGTGGGGTGACTGAACAATTGATGGGTATGCTTCCCATTCCAAAATCAGCTAGGATTAGATGTGTTGAGGTTCTTGATACGGCTATTTCCGGAGTTCTCCTAGCTACAGCAGAGATTGCATTCTTCCACGGATGTCTTACATGGCTTTTGTTTAGACTGTACAATATACACTTCTTGTATGTGACGACCATACTTGCGTTTATCAGCCCCCTTTTTCCCATATTTCCACCTATGTTTGCAACAATTCCAGCTGCTCTGCAATTGGTGGTGGAAGGTAGATACATACTGGCTGTTAGCTTGTCCATTATTCACATTGTGCTCATGGATTATGGTGCAACTGAAATTCAGGAGGATATACCTGGTTATAATGCATATCTTACTGGGCTGAGCATCATTGGTGGAATGACACTGTTCCCATCTGCAATAGAGGTAACTTCACACGTCTTATTTTCTTTTGTCTATACATCATGGTTTCTCCTAAATTGTTGTTTTGCAATTCTTGTGTGCTTGATTCTTCTTCCTCAAAACAGATTGGCAGTTTGACTGACTGCTAAAGCTACATCATGCCTAAAGAGATTACCGAAAGTTTAACCTGTATGATAGTTGTTGGCTATTTTAGGAATTGATTGAGTTTCACATTCTGATAAAACCAATGATTTGGTTTGGAAGCTGCTCTGTGTGCAGTATTCTGTATTAATTTTCGGGTTGAGTCACCAGTTTCTTGCTATGATAGTCCAGTCTTGTCCATAGAGATTGGAAAGAGTTTCAAACTATCACAAAAAAGCTTTGTTTTTTGTGTTGAACTTGAGAAGCTGTGGGTTTTTATATATATATAGCTATAGTTTTTAAGAGAACAGGAGTTGAATTACCTCTCTTGGTTGCAGAGCCAAATAAAACTCAATTGATATAATTTGGAGTGATTTCAAGGGATTGTTGAGTGGTTGGACATGTTGTTTTGGTGGCCTTCCTTGAAACTACGTTGTGCTTAGATAATGAGAGCCTGCACTTTTTAGAGATTAGTTAGGAGCTAGAGCAAGCTCAAACTTAAGGGACCTTTCTGAATTTTAAGGTATTGTGATGACCTCTGCCTGCTTAGGGTAAGCATTCTATACATAACTATTAGCCTTCGGTTTTCTCTGCTGAGTATTTTTCTCAGATGGACTTCGGTAGAGTTCCATAGTTACCATTTAAATGTCAAATTGTCATGGTACAAGTTACATGCAGCTATCATGCTTTTCTTGATTTGATATCTTATTTTTCTGTTGGCTGTTAACAGTATTTGATAAATCATTCAACAGGGAGCAATCATGGGCCCGTTGATAACAACTGTTGTAATCGGTCTCAAGGATTTATACGTTGAATTTGTTCTCGGAGAACCAAAGAAAACCAATTAGCAGAATGCAGTTTGAATCTCTGCCCGAATGGGACTTCGAGGTGAAAACTTGTGTATTTTAGTTGAGAGCTACTTAGGGCGAAGCACATATTCGTTTTCCAATTTGTTCACAGTGCCTGTCTCTACCTGCATGATGTGTTTATTCGATTGCAGAATTTTCTCCTTATTCTTATTTTGCTGTTTTTATGTAATGGCTTCTGTTTTATAATTTATTGGTTGTTGACTGCTCGTTAAAAATTGAAATTGTATATTTCCTTGTATTTATTCTTGTAAGAACTTGAGTCCCACGTATTTGAATGTATATGAGTCATTGATGTGTAAGATTCTTTGTTTTATTTAATTTGTTAGTTATAGTCTGTAGAACGTGCGTGCCCCTCATCTTATACTCTGGAATATTGTGAAAGAGAAGCCTGAAAGGATTTGCAAATTGAAATGCCTCTAATTGATTTGTATGAGACTCATTCGAGGAAGCAACCATACAGGTTGGTACTCTGTGATTGCTTATCATCCAACGTCACCTTGAAGTCTTATCATTGGAAAACAAGAAACAGACGATAGTTCCATCAGCGCTTACATCCAGAGCATATAGGTTGAATTGTTTTAAGCTTTGCTTTGAAGGTGCAAGCAAACTCTGGTTCAAGCCTTCTCCAAGAGTGGTTGTTGCGTTCCACAGAACAGGGGAATTAGCACGTTTAAAAGTATTACAACATCAACCGTTTGGTTCACCCACTAGCCTCGGGTAGTTTTGCTATCGTATCACAAAATATTTAAGTTCATCCAAAAAAAATAAAAAAATAAAAGACAAGACCCTTCTTCTGGGTTCTGCTATAAGTGCGAGCACATTGACTAAACAGACGAAGAAACACCCAACTCTCATATGGAGCAACATTTCTTTTCCATACTCATTTGACAGAACCCCCAACATAGAAATCGGCACCAAAGGATCTATCCAATTTTCTCACCTAAAATACATCTCACAGTTAACTGATACAAATACTTTAAATAGATACAATCATTCAAAATCAGAACCTTGGTCCACAACAGTTTCCGGAATTAACGCAATAGCACAGTTATTTCATGTATTTCTGCAGAAATTTTCGGTGGAAGTCATTCCTTATGGTGTCATTGATGAAGCGCTTAGGAGTCTTTGTTTCACCTCGAGCCTGGTTCTTGAAGACCACATCATCATCCCACCTGAGCCAATGAAAGTTAGAATGATGTTCAATTGGGATGCATTGGATAAAGATGGCATATGGATTGAGTTAGGAGTAAAATCTTTCAGTCAAGAACCTTCTTTTCACGTTAAAGGTGGTTGGATTATTCAGCAGTGGATTTCCTCTAAGAAGTTGCTCTTCCTTGACTTTAAGCTCTTCAGCCACTTGTAGTTGTTCCTGCAAAAACATAAGCACATTGATCTTTGCTCATAAAACCCAAGCCACTGTCATGTTAAGGCAAAATTATTTGAACGAGTTAATTAATCACCAAACTTTAATAATAAAGAATATCCATCCTATTAATGATGCCAACTGCCGGGTTACCTAACAGAGGTGCCCCTTGCTCTTTCTTATGTTCAAACAATGACCAGTTGTTTAATTATTTCTAAAAGGAAGTTACCTGTCGGAGCTTCTCCTCCGCTCTTTCCTTCTTTATTCGTTCAAGCTCAGCCATGAGAGCTTCTGTGTCATCGTCATCATCGTCATCATCGTCGTCATCACTAAAGAAAAGAGAAGCCAGTGTTATGACAACATATCCAAAAACTAACATCATTGTAATTTGTAAAACCATTAGTGCCAGTGCAACAACTGGCAAAACAATTACAGAGAGACCTTCATCTCAGTTAAAAATAACCCTTCAAGTTCTAAGCTATAAATAGTTCTGCAGCTTTAAAAAAGAGCAACCAAAAACCTTGCATACTCTGCAATGAACAAATTATATAAACTAAGGTCTGAGGCCCTAACAAGTTGAAGCATAAAGGTTCAAAGCATCTCCAAACTATCATGAAAAGCAAGGAAAAAAAAAAAAAGGGGTGGATAAACGATGTAGACCAACAAGTTGATACATAAAAAGCATGTATCTATATTTTTGCACAAAAAGTTAGCAACTGCATTGGACATAAATATTGCACAGCCTGCAAGTAGCACTAAGGTTCAATTGATCTCTGCTCCAGAAAATTTAACAAGCAGCAGCAGTCCTGCTCACTTATACAGTAAAATACCAGAGCACACGTTATAAACCATCCAAACAAGGGGTAATTAAATTGAATCATAAAATTAAACTTTGATTTTTTAAATGCCAAGAGGAACAACCTATCATCATCGTTGTTAACTTCCACATCAGAATCATCAGCATCCACGCTGCGTGGGATGATACGATCTTCAGTGTCCCTCTTTGTCCCTACAAATAGCTTATGTAATTAGTGAGGTGACACAAAAACTCTATTAATTTTAAGTATGATTTAAAAGAGCTAGTGAACTCACCTTCCAAGAGAAGTTGATTACCCTTTCTACGATCTCTGTCATCTGCAATAATATAAAGTCTATTCATAATGCAAACTAGCAAGCTTTGACCATCAAATGTTACAGATGAATTCACAGAGCTACACATAAATGCTTCTCTATGAAGTATATTACCATTGTAAGACTTATCCTTTGATGAGAAATGCCTCCGCTCACGCTCTTCCAACTCCTCACGGAGATTCCTCTTCTGCAATTCCTCCTTGGTGTCTTGCCCTTCCTTTCTGTGACGCACATGCAGTAATCAGAAATAAGTTTGCAAATTTCAGTGGAAAGAGGAAGACCAAAAGGCCGTTTAAAAAAAAAAAAAAAAGAGACAGCATAAAGATCTATATGGAATGATAAATAAATAACAGAAAATCACTTCATATGCACACCAATCAAATACAGATGAAGATTCAATACAAAAAAGCATAATGAAGTTTTTACAGATAGCCAATCACTAACAAACAGAAGTTCATGCAGACAGAAAAAGCATGAAGCAGAAATGCTGAAGTTGTAAGTGTATAACATAAAAATGTACCTCTCTCCAACTGCCCCCACCCCACCCTCTCTCTCCCTCACACACACACACACACACACACACACAGAGTACTTTACTTTGCTCAAGGTCTGAACAAAAATCTCAAAATTGCATCTTCAATTATTTTACAGTAGGCAGATAAGGTATCTAACATAAAAGGAACTTGGTAAACACCCCCACCTCACCCCAAAAGAAAAGGAAAGATATGCAAAATGAAAACTACTTAAATTTCTTCCACCTCTCTCTCATAGAGAGATAGAGAGAACTTAAATCTTTTCTCTGGATCTGAGCAACAGTCCCCGTCCCCTGAAACCATCTTCAACTAATTTAAAGTAGGCAGATTCTGTTGGTACTTTAAAAGGGAAGCACAGTAAGAGAACCCCATGCCACAACCTTCCTATTAGAGAATGTAGTTAGAAACAGCACCTTAAGTACTCTAGTAATTTATTTTGGTCTAAAGTTCAAACATGGATATATTTAAAGGCTTTTTATATTACTTCACAGCAAGTCTCCTAGCTAAATGTTTCTACTACAAGCACGACAATTGTGCATCAGCAAGAAACAATCACGTGTACAAAGAAGCCAGCAGATTCATCTAGTGACAAGTAATATTTAAAATATATGCATAAGTTGCTAACATCTAAATAAAAAGACTAACAACACCCCAATTGAAAGCAGGTTGAAGCAAGTGCATCAAAATTTCCTCATCAAAGAAAGTTGAGAAAGACCCACCTTGGCTTTAGAGTGGTATGAGCAGCAAGATCCCTTGACGAATACTTCTGAGATGGGCCAAAAATACGAGTCCCGCCTTGTTCGTTACCACCTTTTGCAGGTGCCCACGTAGGTCTAGCTGCAGTCGTCATTATTACTATCTAAACTTTCAATTACCTAATCCAAAAAAACCCAAATATTAATCAAAATTTGCTTCAAAAACCATCTAAACCTGAATATTACATGATCGAATAAGAATACGCATCATGAACCAAGACAAAGAATGAAATTTTGAAGATTCAAATTAGAAAATTCGATTTCCTTCCAAAAGGAAAATTAACTTCAAGCCCTAATTAGACGCTCTAAGAAAATAGGTTAGGTTTTTATTACCAAAATCAAAAAGAAAAACATGTAAAATCGAAATATGATGAATACAGAAAATTAGGGCTTTTACCTTTAGATTCAACAAAGCTTCTTCACTGATAATTCAAGGGAGCGAGAGCAAGAGGGAGAAGACGGAGAAAAAGAGAGATCAGAGTGCTGTAATTAAGGGCCATTTGTTTAACCGGCTCTAGAAAATATAGGGAAAATAATGGGCTGGTGATGGCCCCTCCAAAGGAAACCTTTTGCTTGGGGCCTAGGCCCAATTTCTAAATTTAATTTAGAATTACGAGAGGACAAGGTGGAACTAAGAACACCAAAAGTATTAACCACTCATGAGCAATGGAGATATTGGAGTAACCCTTTAAGCTCGCTCATTTATTCCTTTGCATTAATCACTTATATTGAAGTGATTTTTAACATCTTTTCTTTTTCTTTTTTTATTGAGGTTTTCTCCTTATATTGAGTGACTTAGCCTAACAAATCTCCTTATCATAGAGGAATAAATCATTTCAGCAATAAAATGAAAATGTTTAGGTTTCTCTTTTGATGATGCCTTTGTCATCATATCAAAATCATTGTGGTTTGTATGGATCTTTTCAAGCTCTAATAACTTTTCATCTAAAGCATTTGTTATTCAATGATATCTAACGTTAATATGTTTTGATCTAGAATGAAATGAGGAGTTCTTACCAAGATGAATCGCACTTTAATTATCACAAAACAACACATATCTCTTTTGTACAAAACCAAGTTCTCCCAAGAACTTCTTTATCCATAGTAACTATTTACTAGCTTTCGTTATAGTGATAAATTCGGCTCCACCAAAAGGAAATCAAATAACCTAAAGTAGATTTACGAGTATTTATATCTCTAGGCATATGTGAATCAGTCCAGCTAACCAACTCGGGTTCTTAGTCCCAAAACAAAGCTTCAAACTAAAAGTTTCTCATAGATGCCTCATAATTCATTTATTGCATTCCAATGGTTTCTTTCGGGATTTGACAAAAATCGATCGACAACACCAACTTGTATATGCTAAGTATGGTCGTGTACATACCACACTATACACTACGTTTTTTTCCCTCGAGGCATATGGAACACTTTCCATGTCTTTCTTCTTTTCATCCGTTGAAGGACTTTGCTTGGTGCTTAATTTAAAGTGGACGACAAGAGAAAAGCTAGCCACTTTTGTTCTATTAATGTCCGGAATGGATATTTTGTATGAAATAGCATATTGGTGGTTGTTAAAAGTCACGAGAAAGAGTTTTAAAGAGTGTAACAATAGCATATCTAGAGTTTGTAGTTGGAAGAAATGGAGTATATTCGGGATCTTCTTTATTTGAGTTTCAATTTAATTTGGCATAATTTAGATGTCATGTATATTGAAAAAAATTTCTTTGAAAATATGTTTAATACGATTACAAGTGTGTCAAGATAAATCAAAGACAATATAAACTTTAGAGAAGACTTGAAACTTTATTATCAATGGCTAGAAATAGAAAGAGATGAAAACTTTGAAAAATACCCTAAAATGTGTTACACTCGGACAAACCACAAAAAATACAATTGCATGAATAGATTAAATAACTCAAGTTTTTTTATGGATATATATCGTACTCGGCTAGGTGTGTCGGATAAACAACCTCGGATTGCATAGCATGAAAAGTCATGACTATTATGTATTTATGTAAAAGTTAATACTCGTCACATTCCATGACCTATTATTGAAAAATGTTTGGCAAACCCTAATTGAGTTGAGCTTATTCTTTAAGAAATTGACTTCTACCGTCAATAAGGTTAAAGATATAAGCCGTTTGGAGATAAAGATACCTTTAATTTTATGTAAACTTAAGCGTATATTTCCATCAAGTTTTTTTAACTCAATGGAACATTTTTTAGTCCACTTGACATATGAAGCAAAAATAGCATAACCAATATAATATCGATGGATGTATTAGTTTGAAAGGTAAATATATTAATTTTGAACCCTTGATTAATTTTTTTTTTTTAAATATTTGTTAACTAACATATGTATATAATGCGGATATCTTTGGAAACTAAAGAACACCGTAAAGAATAAAGCGAGAGTTGAAGGGTCAATATGCAATGCATAATTAGTTGAAGAATTGTCAACATTCTTTTCATATTATTTTGAGCCTTATATGCATATCAAGCATCAAAACATGCCACACAACTTTAAGTGTACTCAAGAATCAAGTGACAACATTGAAGGAATGCTTGTTATTTTTAAATCGAAAGGTCGATCTTTTGATCAAGCAAAATCACATATGTTGACGAGTGAAAAAAAGCTTGCATCCTATACCTATATTTTATTAAACCGTGATGAGGCGACACCTTACATCGAGTAAGTGCTAAAATTAGCAAAATTTTCAATACTGAACTTCATTAATTATCAATTATATATAATAAAGACATTAAAAATCTTTTAATTTTTTTTTCCTTCGATAGCTATTTCATGAGCCAATTTCATTAAAGTAATTTTAACATATTGAAACACGAGGTTGATGCTCGGCTTGAAAATGATTTTGCATCATGGTTTTTTCGATATGTGAGTATCATAAATTTCAAATTCGTTTTACTATTAAGATGAGATGATGAAATTTTATACTCACGATAAGTAATGAATTTGGATTTTATAGGTAAGTAATGTACAATCCAATACGATAACCGACCATTACTATAAAAATCTTGCAAAAGGGTCATTATGAATAGCTAAATCGTATCAAAGATACATTATGAATGGATACAAGTTTCATATCAAAGGTCATGGTTCGGATAAAGTAACAATGTATAGTGGAGTGTGCGTAAAAGAAGTTAATGACGGTATTGAGAAAAATGACTATTATGGTAGGTTGACTAATATACTAAAATTTAAGTATCCTGTATTACCAATTAAGAAAACTATGTTGTTCAAATGTGCTTGGTATGATTCCACACCGACATTGGTACGAGAGTTTATGATTAGTATGGAGTAGTAGAAGTAAATAGTAGCAAGACGTCAAACAAATTTGATCCCTTTATCCTAGGAACAAAAGCGCATCGGGTATATTATGCAACATATCATATATCAAAGTGCATCGGACGCGATTGGTTGATTCGTATATAAGGTAAAACCCAAGTTGATGATGGATATGCCGGGATCGATTGTTACGGTCCAAAAAATTATGGATTGTTTTAGGAAAACGATATGGAAGCTCAACATAATGTCATCCAAGTTGATGACGACAAGAGTCATTCGTTGACTAATCCAACTAGATCATTAATAGATTTAGAAGTGAATGAAATTAATAAAGAGAATGATATTGAATTTGAAATAGATGTTAAGGAAGACCTAATGAAAACTATAATAATAATGATCGAATAATAATTAGCGGTAAGGGTTGATTGTCCTCCACAATTTACTAGAAATTGTTAATATATATATATATATATATATATATATATGAAAGGATTAAATAATTATTTATGAAACAAAATGAATTAATTAATTCATTTTTAAACTAAACGGACTAATTAATAATTTACTTTATGTTTTGGGCTTTTATTTGTATAAGATTAAGTTTTTGATTTTGGTCCAAGAAATTCAATGACTTGGTTCCTATGCTCTTTTGTTGGACAATATTCTACATATAGAGTGTCCTTAGAATTGCGACACAAGTATTTCCATTTTAATGTTTGCTAGTTGGGGCCTACTCAGAATCCAATTGAGTGAAAAAAAAAAAATTCATTACTTATGGGATATGAAAACCTTAATTATCAACCTACTCTAATTTCATCATATAGGCATGGTAATTAAGGGGTTTTGCGTTATTTTTTGACTTTATCAGTTCAAACATTAAAACCTTGATTAATGTAGGTGTAATGGTAAGATAAATGTTTCGACCTATCATATTTGATAAATGTTTCGATCGATCATATCGGAGTTTCCATTTCTAATTTTAAATTCATCTTTTTTATGTGACATTAGATATGTCTACTGCTTGATTGATTTAAAGAGTTTAAAAATTAGAATTGATAAAAAAAATAAATATGATTCAACATTTTTATAACTTAAAAAGTTATAAATTTAATTCTCATTGATGGAAAAACTAACTCGATAATATCTCTTTATCTATAAATGTTTTTTTTTAAAAAAAAAAACTAGAGAGACATGCAACATTCTTGCACATTGTAGACATTCAAAAAAGAATGAAAAAAACTTTCTAGGATCTTTGAAGCCAATAGACGTTTGATTTGAGTAATGTTTTTGGATATTATACTGATCAATTTCAAAGAAAGTAATGTTTTAACTGCTACTAGTAAAATCAAAGACTTAATACTATGAATAGCCCTAATTAAATTTTACTAGAAATTAAAGTTTCGGGAACATTACGGATTTTATCTTGCATATTCTCCATCATAAAGTAGCTGGAATCTTTTTTTTTTAACAGGCATTTCCTAACAAGTTTATGCATATATACCAAAATTAAATTCATTTTGTCAATCATGTTAGATAGACTTCCATAAAAATTATACACTTATGAGCAAAATCACTTCATATCAACTTGATTTTGTGAAGTCTGTAAAAAATTATAGTGTCATGTAATTAAATTAAAGCTTAAAATTAATATCCTGGGATTTTGACAAATAAACAAGAATTAAATAAAAAGAAAAATCTCCAATTCAACGTGTCTAGATGAGTGTAGGAAAAAAAAAATCAAATCAAATACTTAGGAGATACGAAACCTTTAATTGCATGCTTTGATCAATTGTTTGATGAGAAATGCCCAAATTGTTTCATTTTTTAATTAATAATAGTGACTTCAGAGTGGAAGACTTAAAATAAGATTTCTTTTCTAACTAGGTTAAAAATATGATTTCTTTTATTTCTTTCTGTTCTTTTTTTGGTGATAAGATTTTTTTTCCCTTTTTTTTTTTTTTTCCTCTTCTGTGGGTGGTTTATTTGATTCGTTAATTATTAATCAAGGCACCATATGGTTTGTAGATAAATTTTCGTAATACCTAAAAAGATATGGTATGCCAGTGATGGTTTAGTGAGCCGGAACGATCAGCCGCTATAAACATAGATCGGCCCTGTTAAAGGATTTTGGGCTTTGGGGTATATCCTTAAAGTACAAACCCGGTGCTACCGAATATCCAGCAAGTGTAAACTAAAACAGTGTGCTTTTTTTTTTTTTTTTTTTAAAAAAAAAAAAAAAAATTTCGTACACGAGACAGAACGATGGTGTTAATAAATTAGTAATCTATTGTTGTAGTTAAAAAAAAAAAATTGCTTTTTTTTTTTAATTTTTTTAAATCCAAAACTTGAGATTAGCATTTTAAAATTTTCTAATTGTCTAAAAAAAATTTAATCTGAAAATTTAATTTTGTATAAATTAAGATTTAATTCTCAATTGATGTGTAAATTAATCTGAAAATCCTAACCGTTAAAAAAAAAATTCTCAATTCTTCTCCATTATATATATAAAAAAATTCATCATGAAATTAAATATACACTTTGCTAATTAACAGCTCCATTAATAAAACAAGTAACAACAGACAAAACCAACATTATATTCTCAATTTATTTAATTTTAAAGAAAAAGTTCAAACTCCAAACGACTCGAGAATTTTTTTTTTAAAAAAAACAATAATAAAAAATTGAGGAATGGCTCACCGGCATTTATTATCTTAATTCATTGCATAGGCATGTTGAGATGCATGCTTAGTCTCTCTATGTTATCAAACGCAGACACCAAAGTCAAAAGCGTCAGGTATTGGTTCGCACCTTCCGCTACAGCACGAGTCTGGAAAACGTCGGCAAAGCTGGCCTTTGCCTTCGCAATTGGGTTCCTAGCTGTTGCAGTACCTGATGAATGGCATCAGAAGAAATAATTACAACTTGGCGTGCAGCCGAGGTAGATTGAGCAACCATGGCCATAAGTACTAAGCCCACCGTCAACAACAAACGAACTTTCTTGCTCAAGTACTGCATCTCTCTGAATCAATTTACATCTGAATTGCATTTAAATAAAAGTACCTACCATCTTGCATTTAAATAACAATTATTATATAATGATTTTAAGTCATCATGTTATTACTATTTGGTATTATATAGTAGAATGATTGTTATTTTACTATTGTAGTAAGTTGCAATTCATAATTGCAATCGCGACCATTTTTTCAATAGTAGATTAATAGCGTGGACTGTAGCATCGTCACAATCATTCAAGTTCACCATTGAATCCTATTACCTAGCCCTGATTTTCGACGAGTTTATTGGGTTCAATAAACTCCTAAGCATTATGTGTGTGTGTGTGTGTGTATGCACACGTCCATGTTTTAATTTAATTATGAAATTATTTATTAATCATAAAATAAACATATTTTAACTTGTTTATGTTAATATCAATGTTTTATATTTGTTATGTTTTATTAACTAATTAATATGATAATATATACGTTATGCCTCGTGACGGGGACGTTATGTTAATATTAATGTTTTATCTAATTCCAAAGCAATTTGATTGCTTGATTTAAATGATTAGCAAGGTTCTAGCTCACCGAAACAAGTAGTAAAATTTTGATAATTTAGAAGCATTTTTTCAACTTTAGATCCCTTTTAGCGAGGTTTTCCATGCTCGCTTGGTTTGCTATGCTCACATTATTAGCCTAAAAATGTGCACAAAACCAATATGTGTGTGTGCACATGCATGTTTTAATTTAATTATGAAATTATTTATTGATCATAAAATAAGTGCATTTTAACTTGTTTATGTTAATATGAATTTTTTTATATTTGTTGTGTTTTATTAACTAATAAATGTGATAATATATAGATTATGCCTCATGATAGGAGATGTTCTTGCATGCGGTGGTCCATATCATATGGTGAGAATCATGGTTCGGATACTAACAATGGTAGTGACTCGTGGACATGAGCGTAGTCCTACTTTCGTCTCAAGTCGGATGCCCTTTCTCGTCGATATGTCTCTATACTACCCTTCCATAACCACCGTGTCAAACCTATCATCGTTTGACATGTCTTGACTTGAGCTTCGTTATTATGGACCTCCACATCCTCGCTCATCCGAACCTTCGTCGTCATTAGGGCTCTCACCCTAAAAAGATGACTGTGAAGTTCTTGTATATGGCTCATCACTAAATGTCCCTTCCGGCTTGCCTTCTCGCACCTTTTGGATCTACGTACGATCTTCGAATTTTGATTATTATCATTGATGTCAAGGAATGCATATTATGCATATTTTTTAAATATTTTTTCAATGTATTATTATGTTTGTGCTTTTATTTAACTATTAATTCATGTCTTAGTTGATAGCTTGTATCCTTACGATATTTAGGCTCATCGGATCTATAAGACATTCTATGAGCATGTTGACCTATCTAGATCGATTTGGAAGTCAATTAGTAAGCAAACTAAAAAGTTTTATTGGAGGGACTTTAAGGTATTTTTTAGCTTAATTTATTACGTGTCGGTATATTTCAACTAAAAAAAATTAATGTTCATTTAAGTGTACTAATGAGTATTTTTAACATTCTTGTAGAAGTTCTTTATGTGGGATTGGGAGATCGATCTAAGCATAAAGAAAGCATGGTAGAGTTTGGTACAAAAACGATATTTTGACTTTCTTTATTAGGTAAAGAAAAACCTCAAACCAACATATAGCTCACTTGAGATATGGGATGCATGGCATAAGAAATGGGCAAAACCTGTGTCTTATGCTTGGATTTGAGTCGGTCGTTTGAAACCACAAGAGTGAGACAGGTGGTATTGAAGCTAGCCTATCTAGCCATACGATGGGTTCGATCATCCACGGGGAGCACGCAATACCCATGGTAAATCCATATATATATATATATATATATATATATATATATATATATATATATATATATATATAGGGTTTATTGTTTGTAATTATTACAATATCGGTAAATATTTAAGTGTATTGGTTTTAGCATAAGGAGTTGGGTCGTGACCTAATACTAATGAAGTTTTCTTGAAGACTCACGAGAAGAAAGTTGATGATAAGTACATATTTATCAATCAACGGGTAAGAAATCTCAAGGTAAGTAATTTATAAGTTTATTTCATACGTATGCCACTTATATATAACTTATTGAGATAGCTATTTAATATTAAAATTTATACAATTATGTAGGAGATCGTCAAGAAAATATTTAAGGAGGAGGTTGCTAGTTTGGAGGTGGAGGGTGTTTCATCGCCGGACATCAACATGAATGAAATTTTTAAGAAGATTGTTCGAGGAGGATACAATAAACGAAGAGGATATACAAACTTGGGTCATAGGCCTCTCGTTATTACTCGATGTTAGTACATCTTCTAGTTCAACAACATTGCAATTTCATATCGATATTGAGGTGCACCGAAAAGAAATGGAGGCCAATACTTCTAGATAAGAAAAAAAGATCTAAAAACTAGAAAGTACTATTACATTGCTCCTAGAAAGTCAAAGGTGATTGAAGCAATATATTCAAGTGCGGCATGTGATGATGCATCATATGTTAAATATGCAAAAGGATAGTTCATCCATCGATTTTTCGACCATCATATGTCCAATAAAAATAATGATATGTTATGACATGTATCCCCTTTATCATAATATATATATTTTTATCACTTTTATGTTTTTTTGCTTGCTAAAATATTAATAAACTTCAATATAAGTTGGTGTTTGAATATATATTTGATGTGATTAAATTTTATATAATATAAAGATTTGATAATATTTATAAATGTTTCATGTCATTATTATAGTTGTTAAATTAAACTGAAATTTATATTTCTTATTATCGACATGTGAACAATGAAATAATTAACTGAACATATATAAGATATAAAAACTTAGCGATGGTTTAAAACCATAGCTAGATACGATGAAAAATATACGATGCAAAATTTAGCCATAGTTAACAACGATTTTTAAAAACCGTCGCTAAATTGTCATTACATAGTGATAGTTTTGTAAAATCTCACTAAATTTGTATCCTTCTAAACACTCGTTAAGCAACAGTTTTGTGGTAGTTTAGGGTTTACAATTAATCATCACAAAATATTTAGTGAGAAGGCTTTTTCATACGAGTTTTAAACCATTGCAAAACCATCACTAATTATATGTAGTGATAGTTTTTTTAGAGACGAGTTTAAACCATTGTTAAATGTTAGTTTTTTGGTAGTGAAGGTCATCGATCTCTAATAGATCTTATTCTCTAGTTCATGTGTCGTATTATCAATGTCCAAATGTTATGGGATATGTGATCTCTCTAAATCATTTTAGGCATGTTGTGTAACCCCCGTAAAAACCCTTATCCGTAACGCGACGTGTATTAGAATAATTCTATATATATGTATATTAAGAGTAAGTATAATTATCATTTCATCATGAGAAATTAATGCTTTAAATATGTGATTTATGTTAAATTAAAGTTATTGTGCTTAAGATTAATGGTTTAATTATTAAAGAAATCAAATATGCAAAATCAGTGTTTTAAGGACTATATTCTACCTGAGTTTTGTGTGAATTATTTGAGGCCTTTAGAGTAATTTTTTAGTCAACCTTAAAGAATGAAAGTTGTTCATCTATGTGTTTAATAGTCTTGTATAAAATTTTATAATATTTGGACCTATATATTAAGAGTTATACCAATTATAGTGAGGGTTGTTTCGAAATGCATTCTGCTGGAATTTTGGGAGAAGAATCTGCCCGAATCTTGTGAGATTTATTTGATGCTTTTAGATTGAGTTTTGAGAAAAACGTAAAGCATAAAAGTTGTTTTTCTATGTGTGTACTAGCTCTCTATAAAAGTTCATAAATGTTGGATACATATAGAAAGATTTATGTATATTTTATTATAGATGGATTAGGAGGTAACACTGCTGAAATTTTGGAGAAAAAGAAATTCCGAATTTTAAAAATGGAAATTTTCGAATTTTTTATGAAAGAAATTTTGTCTAATTACATTAACCCAGCTTATTAATGTTTTTATTTATCCTAAGTTTTCTTTAGCCACCTAAGCACTTGAATTAAATGCTTAGAAGCCAAATCATCACCTTTGACTTCCAAAACATGTCAGCTTTGCCTTCCAAGCTTCCTTCACTTTACATTTGGCCTAGTTAAATTGTAACACTTATGATATAAATAAATGAGAGGATAAAAGGTGGGTATATAAGGGAAATAGAGGGTTAAATGGCTGCCATTTTTAGGCCAAAAACCATAGCCATCCAGAATTAAAAAGAGAAGCCAAATTGAAGAGAGAAAAACAGCAAAAAGAGAGAAAGAAAGAAAGAGAAAGAAAAGGGAAAAAAGAAAGAAAAAGAGCTAAAGAAATTCTAATCAAATCTAAAAGAGGTAAATAGGTTTCATTTTCTTGGCTGATTAATGTCTTAAATTATTTTTTTTAAGTTATTTTGTTAGTGTTTATTTCATGGGTTGTAATAATCTTCATTGGTTATATGCTTGATGCTTGGGATAAATCTATGTATCGATGCCTTGTTGTGATGATTTATGATGTTATGATATTTGTAAAATTTCCAAGTATGTGGTGATGGGTTGGATTGAACTTGGACTAAATTTAAGTGAACTAAACCATGTTTAAAGTTGACTTGGAATGAACTAATAAATTAGTGTTGATAAGGAGTAAATTTTGTTCGAATTTTAGGGTACATGTTCAAGGCTTTTAGGTCAATTTCTGGGTGAAACTTAAAGAATAAAAGTTTTTCCTCTATGTTTCAACTAACTCCCTTTAAATTTTCTTGGTCATTGGATTTGTGTACGAAGAGTTATACCCAATTTAGTATAGATAGCTCTAGACAAGCTACTACTAGACAGATTGCTCCCTAAGTTTCAAAAATTTGTAATTAATTGTGTACTTGGTATTTAGACCTAATTTTTAGATATGTTATAAAAAAATATGTCTATTATATAAAATAAAATGAGTAAGATTTAATTATGTTCTGAAATTAGAAACTTATT